CCCCGCCCCACCCCTGTTGTACAAGCACCAGGAAGAATACACTGTGAATGACAGAGACCAAAGGTGCCGGGGCACCGAGCTGACACGGATGCTACCGTTCTCTCATCACGACTATCAAACAGCCTCACAAAATGTTTCAACCGTGTTTCGACTGTGCTTGAAGCGAATATAAAAGAAAAGTTAAACCATTTCACGGTGAACCGCAAACTACCCATCACTAGATTCACAATTAACCTCTCACGGCTCTTACTTCCTCGCCTCTCAACCCATCTGTCTGTCTGTCCAGCACGTCTCTGTGTCCCAGCCGGAGCCTCGGGGGCAGGGAGACTTACAAGGCTCCACAGATGAGCTCTCCTTGGAGTGAGGATGGGCGAGCAGGCCTCTCGTGGCTGGATGGTACCCAAGAACACGTGTGCGCGAGTGTATGTGCACGCGTGTGTGCTGATGTGCACGTGTGCGGGTGGGCGTGTGCAGGTGTTCTGTGTGTGCATGCTTGGGCGCAGTGTTTCTTTCTCCATAAGAAGGAAAGGCTCCTCCACGTGGGGACCAGCACTGATGGGAAAGGCAGTGCAGGACGGGGGTGAAAAGGCAGGAATTTGGAGCCCCACCAGCTCACCACTATGACCTGGGGCTGGGGCCCACACCAGCAGCCACAGGCCTCGGGACCGACCCCAGACCCAGGGAGACTCGGCTGGAAGAATCCATGCAGACCATGAAACCCACCACGTCACTGCAGATGGAGGAACCAGCCCTGGGTCTTGCTACAGGTTCGTGGCAGATCCCACACTGCTACGCTGTCGCTCTGGCCACAGCCTCCGCAGCCGGGCCTCAGCTGTGAGCCACCCAACCTCACCCACTGCCAAGGCGACTGCAGAGGGAGCATGTGGCGGTCGTGGGCAGAGTCCTGGGCCAGGACGTCAGCCTGTCTGGACCACGGACGACTGCTCAGCCTGCAGCTGGGGCCAGGCCGTCTGAGGGACCAGGCATTCAGCAGGAGGGCCCTGCCATGTCCACGAGTCATCGTTCTCCTGGGCCCCACTCACCAAAAGCCACTCCTTTGACAAAAGACTTCAAATATACATAAATCTGTAGGAAATCCTATAATGAACACCTGGGTACCACTATCTGGCTTTATCAGAACTTACTAACATTTAGACATAATTGCCATAGACCTTCTTTTCTTAAAGAGATAAAGCATTTTTTTTTCTTTCCATATTAAAATTTTTTTTTAATTCCGGGGCACCTGGGTGGCTCAGTTGGTTAAGCGTCCGACTTCGGCTCAGGTCATGATCTCGTGGTTCATGGGTTCAAGCCCTGCCCTTGGGCTCTATGCTGACAGCTCAGAGCCTGGAGCCTGTTTCAGATTCTGTGTCTCCCTCTCTCTCTCTGCCCCTCCCTCTCTCTCTCTGCCCCTCCCCCACTCATGCTTTTTCTCTCTCTCTCTCTCTCAAAAATAAATAATAAAAATAAATAAAATTTTAAAAATAATTCCAATATAGTTAACATACAGTATTCTATTACTTTCAGGTGTACAAGATAGTGATTTAAGAATTCTGTACATCGGGGTCAGTCAGACAAGCATCTGACTCTTGATTTAGGCTCAGGTCATGATCTCAGGGTTGTGACATGAAGCCCCATGTCAAGAATTCCCTCTCTCTCCCTCTGCCCCTCTCCCCAGTTCGCTCATTCTCGCTCTTGCTCCCTCTCTCTCTCAAATAAATCTTTAAAAAGGAATTAAGTATGTTATTAACATAACTCTAGATCAGGAGTCAGCAAACATTTTTGTAGAAAGGTAGATAGTAAGTATCTTAGGCTTTGCTACATCTGGTCTCTTGCTGCATATTCTTTGTTTTGCTTGTATTGTTATTTTGATTTTTACAGCCCTTTAATAATGTAAAACCCATTCTTCTCAGCTTGGGCCTGTGCAAAACCAGGCCATGGGCCAGCCTGGGCTCTAGGTCCTATTCTAATGTATGAATATCCCCCAGTTCATGCCTCCATGTTCCGACAGATGAACATTCCAGAGGCTCCCAACTTTTCACCATCACACACAGGACCATGTTCCCTTCTAAAAGTTTTTAGTTTT